CATAAGCAGCTGCATTTGAAAGTCACCAAAGGATTTGGACCAGGCCAGCAGCTGATGCACAGCACGGTCAGAGGACTTATTTTCCAATTCTGCAATCAACTTAGGAAAACAAAACAAGCTGCGTAGCTCCCAAACAGCCAAGAAAGCAAGTTTAATACAAGAAACTAATGCCTTGTCCACAGTATGACCACAAGAAGATGAAGCAACTACGGCAAAGTCAACTAACAGTACAAATATAGCCAAAAAATCCCCAAGTTACATGGTGCATCTCCAGCAAAAGAAGAAAGGAACTCGTTGTGTGATACAGTCTTACTCTGGGGAGGCGTAGGAGGGAAGCAAGCAAGAACAAGAGCACGTGCAGCACCTAGCAGCGGGCACCTCTTGCACACACACGGCATCATTTCTTTGGACAGAAGATTTTCTAAAGGAAATACATGTTTAAGAGCTCTTTGGAACAGCTGAGGCCACTCAGACATAAGTGCTACTCCATAGCCGACAGTGGGACCCAGGCCTCCTGTATAACACAGACATAAAAAATGCTTATGGTTTCAAATACAGGATAGGATGAGGTTGAGTGGGTTGAATCATCATCATCATCATTAGCTACACATCTAATACTAATTACCACAGGATGAATCCCTTTACACTGTAGCTTTGGAGCAGAACTGACAGCTCCTATTGTCCACCAAGACAACAATGTCTTTAGACATTTACGGAAATAAAACATGATGTTAAAAAAAAAAGTGATTTTTGTTTCTAGTAACAAAGCTTCTCTCTGTATCATGGCAAACATGCAGGATGTAAAGGCAGTGATAGGAAGTACCCACCTACGTAGCTCAGTGCTTTGTCAGGCAGACAAAGGGTTCTGTGAACTTGAAATATGCAGCAGCTCTCCCCAGCCCTTACTGGGGAGGGAGGAGGAGAATTTCTGAACCAAGGATTATTCACAGCCTGGCAGAGATGGGAAAAGGCACTTTTTTCTGCAGGCTCCTTCCTTTCTTTCACATAACACTAGGTAAGTTAACGTTCACTGGAGTGAACACACACCCCAGGCTAGTATCTTGACTGTAAGCCAATGAAAACACTGAACTTAAAGAAAAGCTACAAGAGAAGCCTGTGATGAGCAGAAATTCACTCGATACTCTCTCTGCTGATTCAGTATTTATGTGCCAGTGTTATCAGCCTGCCAACATTTTAAAATTAACTTTGATGTCATCTGTGAGAAGAAACCCTATGAAAAATTAATGTATTGAAGCACTGGGGTGGAGTAGTACAATTCATGTTCTGGACTTTAAACAAGCTTCTGTTTTCAGGAAGATCAGATGAAGTGAAAGCTCTGAAAGGGGAAAATACTTATGCAGCACTACACAATTAGAGGAATATTCCTACTCTAGTGGGAAAACAAATCGGGGATCTGCAACCCTTCTGCTGAAACCAGCACTGTGCTGCTCAGGAACATTCATTTCCCAAAACAGACATATTTTGTTTGGCAGACGATGAAAATAAACCCACATTTACATGCTCATATGACCTATCATTACTAATGAAACACAGTAATAAGGAAATCAAGTGGTTCAGTTCAAGCTTCAGTGCATTCATAGTGGGTACCAACAGTAAAAAAATAAAATTCAACTTGAAGCAAAAGAAGAGCTTATATCCCAATCTCATCTCTCGCAGTCAGAATCATTAGCACCCAGCAGGCAGGTTACAACCTACGAAGTGCTGACTGCAGAGACGTTTTCTTACATCCAGAATACAGATGGCACACCAGGACGTGAGGATGATCTTCGTTCTTCGATAGAGCTGCATGCCCAGGATTGCTAAGTCACACCACTGGACAGAGGCAGCCCTAGAAGCATCAAAAAAGACAACGCCAGAAGAAAAGCACAGGCTCCTCTTGATCCTGCTGGCCGTCAAGAAACAGTCTCCCAGAATTACTTTTTAAGATAATCCTGCCCAGAACCAGCACACTAATTAGTAAGTATAACATATGACACATTATTGTAATGGTCAGGCAGTGGTTTAAAACAGTAAAGCGCCAGTAGAAGAGAAGTACATATTGACAACTGTGTAGCAAGACGGCACCGAGGTGGCACTGCACAGCGTTAGGGGTTAAACCCACCTGTCACTTAAGGTTTAAATGCGTCTGTCACTCATCTCTATCATCACTGGGACTCTGCCTCATGATCTTTACAAACACTTCAGAACCCTGAACGCCACCCACATCCTCTGCACCCCACAAGCATGATAAAAATCCAGTGGTATTAGAGACAAACTTTAAAAGGACAGTATGAATTGGTCCTAGGTAGAATTGTGCAGATTCAAGGAACACGTCAGCCTGAGGTTTCCAAAAAGACCATTAAGAAACACAAAGCACATGCCAATACCTGCAAAACACTGCAGGAATAAAGCTCATACACATGCCCAGCTGGTGTGTTTTCCCTTTTTGTTACTCTTTACTGACAGTAGGAGGAAAAAAGAAGCTAATCAGAGACTTCTGAAGCAATCAAGACTACAGAAAGACTCCATCAGCACAGGGTATCCCCAGAAAGAACACTATCAGGTGTACTAGGAGATGCCAAATATTATAAAACTACGTTCTAAGATCTTCAAAAGCACTCAAGAGTTAAAGCTTTTCCTTTTGAGCAGTTGCTGTTTGTTCCTCTTATGTACATGGCAAGTTATTTATTAGTCCTCAATAGTCCTATAAAGTGAGGAAGTAAAATATTTTAACATAAGACCATCCCTCCTCCCAAAGGAAATACCTTACAGCAGTACTGAAGACATAGATTCAACTTATATCAAATTATGCTGTTTGCAAGCAAGTGGTCATTAACTACATTTAAACACAAAGATTAAAAGTTCTGGCTTGGGAACTCCCTAATCCAGGAAGTTTTTACTCAGATATATATTGGGTTTTACTCAGATACAACTTCAAGGGGTGTTAAAGCTGTTACTTCAATAATTTTAAATGGGTTAATTTTTAGCTCTTTCTAGCTTTATAGACTATCTTCCAACTAAGAGACTGAGGCATTTTTGCTACTCAACCTACAAACTTACATGGGGACAGAAGTATGAAGAACTTCTTTTAGCTACTGCTTGACATTTTTAGCAAAATAAGCGAGACATGAACGAGTTTCAGGGACTTTCTTCCCTCCTCCAAATCCAAGCTCTTCTAACAATTTCTAGGCCTTGCAGAAGCCCAGCCTGAAGGGAAGCACTCCTAACATGAAGGCAACAGACACTACTGGGAGTCACAAGGTTCAGGACAGCAGAGGCAGTAGCACGCACATCTTACCACGCGGCCATACCTGGTTGGTTTGGGTTGCCTCAGGCTCCCGGAGGCTGCTTAGATCACAGCAGAACACCTCCTTCCCAATCTTGTACTCCCACAGGCGCACAGTACTGTCCTGGACAGATTCAAGGGGACACAGGTGGGTTACTAGCAGTACCTCAGGCAAAATGAGGCCACTTGTGCCCTTCAGCTAAATCCTATTTCCCTGAACAACTTCCCACAGAAATTGCTAAATAGTCATTTAGTTAAGATCTCAAACTGCAGATAAAGCATTTTAATTAACCTTTTTCTCCTTAAAATTTAAATTATTCGATCATGCTAACTTTAATTCTCCCTTTGAAGTGGAAATTGGGTAGCTGGAGGAATGGATTTCAGATCTGTCTTATACAGCACAATAATATGTAGCATCAGTATTTTAATGGCAATTCCTTCATGCTGCCCTTTTTTCCCCCAACTCATATTAGGAATCAAATTCTCATTTGATTTACTAACCTCCTAGAGAGAAACTAAAGACCCCTCTAGAAAAACAGAGCCATAAAGGAATTTCCTAAGAATGAAACAGTCCTAAAAGCACAAAACACTAACACTAGAGATGCTTAAATAGGGGTTAGAAAAGAACAAGCAAAAGAGTTACGGCAGCAGTAACAGCTGTTGAAACCAACAGTCCTAAAAGCACAAAACACTAACGCTAGAGATGCTTAAATAGGGGTTAGAGAAGAACAAGCAAAAGAGTTGCGGCAGCAGTAACAGCTGTTGAAACCAAGAGCTATGCTAAGCATTGACACAACCCTCACAGAAAATACTTTTTTTTTCCTTCTTATGCACCCCTGGTAGTCGGAGACACGAAGAATATTATTTCCTGTTGGGTCAGCTCCATTTACTTAACTCTTTACACTTCTGGTCTGACAACAGGAGTCCCCCCAAAAAAAAAAAAAGTAGGGGAAAACCTACCTCACTTCTTCAGTTGCCACCCTAGGCACTGTGGAGCACTGCACTGCAGTCTCTACACAACACCCACTGGACATACAGTGGGGACATATAGATGAGGACACAATTCAAAACGGGTCTCACAGTAAAAAGCAAATGGGAGGAGGAAGTGGGAACTGTTCTTTAATCTTAAGTGCTGTGAAGAAATCTGGGATTCAAAGGCCATAAATTCTCAAGACGCTCATTATCATGGCAGGCTACCATAATATTGACTTGCTTCAAAGTTGTTTAAAAAGTCAATTGATTTGTTTGTGCTCTGAAGCAAGAGTTAATGGTGATGAAACATTGAGGACTTCCTGATTTATTCATCCCAAAGATGTTAATAAGCAGCTAGATTTGTTATAAACATTCTTAAACGGCTCCTATATGACCTAGCAATAGAATGGCTAAACACGGAACAGAAAGCAAAGGAGTGAGGGTGAGAAGAAAGGGAAAGCTAGAAATCAAATAGAATTTATGCTCAAGAGTCCCAGGGAACTTGGAGGCAAGCATAAGCAGATAAAGGTTTTAAAGTCTAAACTTTTAGAAAAAAATACTTTCTAGAAGAAGTTGCAATACATACCCCAGAAGCTGACAACAGCAAATCTGGATAGTTGGGTATTACAAATATTTTGCTTACAAACCTGAAGGAAAAGTAGTTACAAGTTGAACTCTGTTACATGACACTCTGGTCTTTAAACACACACAACAAGAGAACTCACCCATTTTAAGAGAATCTTATGATAACTAACAAACTGATTGTCTCCATCAAGCTAGTTAAGAATAACATAAAATATATCTACTATACTTAGTGTGTGTTATTAACTTAGAGCTCAGCAACATAAAATCTAGTATCCCAAGACATTATCGAAGTGAGCACTCTTACTTTTGAAAATGAGCATAACTTGAAGGCTATTAAATAAAAATAAATAAATAAAGGAAAAGATTGGGTCACTGTGATACAAGCTCCTGTGACAAAGCAGTAATGACAGGTGCACACAACCATAACAGATTCACCAAGTCATCAAGCACATCATTAAATGAGGAAAATCCAGGAGTGTGAAACAAGACAGAACAATTACAGTTGCTTTATATACACCTTTACTTCTTTATTCCTTATCTAAATATTGAACATTTAAATAACACTTCAAGCAGTTTACGCTATATGCCTTCCTACTGTGCAAGCACTAATGAACTCTTTATGTGGGTACAACAGCCCCTGTTTAAAAGCATTTTTCTGAACATCAAGGTTTGCATTCATTAGAAAGTACAACCGTGTAACACAGTAGGCAGAAAGAACAGACACAGCTGCGCAAATATGCTACAAAAACCTGTCTGACCAAAGGCTACTTAGATCTCTAATATGTGAAGTTTGCTGCTTTTAAACTATGCCAAGTCTACTCACATCAGACTACCAAATGATTTTATTAATCTCTGTCCTACGGACCTTATTAAAACACCTTGCTGGGTAGGTTCCACAGGCTGCCACCTGTATCGCTAGCTCCCTGCTCTCACTTTAACCTTTGCCGTAGCGCGTGGACCGCCCCAGGCTGCGTCTCCTTGTGCAGGGAGGTGCCTGCAGGGTGCTGCTATCCCCAAGGGAGCCAGCAGCCCCACATGCAGAATCAGGAACGCTGGGCCCTGTCCAGACCGTGGCTTCTCTGCCACCCCGATCTCTGCGGGCCTCAGAATGGTGGCAATGGCCACAACCAAAACCTTGCATAGACTCCCTGTGCCCATCTCCCCCCTCGCCCTGCCACCCCCCTAAAAAAACAAAAAAAAAAAAACAAAAAAAAACAAAACAATGTCTGCAAAAGCTCACAAAGCAAATACAGATGGAAGGCAAAAATCAGAAGATTTTGAAAATACCATAACTGACAGTCATTTTTAAAAATTAAAATATGGATGGAAAAAAAGTCTTTTAAAGTCTATTTTCCATTTGAGCTTTCCTTTTTCATGGGAGGACTACTGAGAATAAGACAGCCCCTCCCTAGACTAAAAAAAAATAAATAAAAATAAAAGGATCAATATAACAGCTCAAAGACCTTGCCTATTCTTATAGCAAAAAAAAAAAAATCAACTACAATTACATCAGCATAGCCAGTGGATTGTTTTGCTGCCTTCCCTTCCTGAGATTGCTGTAATGAGAAGGAAAAAAGCACCCTTCTTTTTTATGCAGGGGGAACCCTACATCCTGCTGCACTTAACACACCACAGCAACATCCTTCATCTTCCATGCATCTTCCACGTATCCTTCTTTTTGTCTAACTGTTCTCGCTCATAGCAGAACAACCCATCTCGGAGATTTAAAAAAAAAAAAACAAAAAAAAACAAAAAAAAACCCACCCCCACACCCCCACATACAAAGTATTTTCCTCAGACACTCGCAAGACAAGGAAACTAAGAGGAGCAATTCCTAGAATCTGGAAGATCATTTTGTAGCTTCTAGCTCATTGCAGTCGAATGTTTAGGCAAGCAGTGCTGGTTTTTTTAATCTGTGTCACCACAGTACCTCCAAGCTTCAGCTCTGCACCAAGATGCTGTTTGAGTACAGTTTGCTCAAAAAACAGACTCGTTCTTCCTAAGACTAAGGTAGGCTCTGAACTAACAAACCCCCAGTCTCTGGAGTACGTAACTCAGGTCTACATGTTGCTTAATATGACTTTGGGAAAACAAGCACTTCATCCATCCAGTCACAACGAAGATTTACATATTTACAGCTTTACAACTTACTCTTTGTGTCCTAGACAGTAGGATACAATGTTATGAGGAGCTTTAGCCAAACTGACCCTGATCTTCTCATCTCTGTCAGCCGTTAGGATATACCGGTCATCAGGACTCAGTGCCTGTTGGCAAAGACAGAGTTTTAGTGCCCAATACCTGAACATTTCTTTAATGGAAAAAGAAAGCAGTAAGCTATCTGTTTTTCCCTACTCCAAATGGCAGCTGCAAACATTAAGCCACATGTTTCCACTTACAATAGAAGCAAGTCTTTGTGATAGTAACTTTCTTGCTCACTAAGAGAAGCAGCACTGAGTCCAAAGAAAGCCACTGCACTTCAGAAGTACAGCAGAAATCCTACTGCATCTTAAAAAGAAAGAAACTTGTCATACTGAAGAGCTAAACTGACATGAAAGAACTGGGTGAATTCCCATGTGTACTCTAAGTCTTCCATGACTGCAACTTGGAGAATTTTTGAACAATCACTCTCCCAGAATAGACAACCCATGTGTTTCCTTTCCAAACCTCCATGTTCAGACACACTCAGCAGGCATGTCAACTTCAGCAAGTCTGGACTCAGACCCACTTAAACACACAAAAAAAAATCCAAAGACTGCTCAAGAAGCTCTCATTATATGCCACGTCCTTGAAATGACAGCAACGATTGCAATGCTAAGGGAGGGCTTATGGGAGAGTGGGAAGAAAACAGACTTTTGTACCCTATTAAATTAATATACTATATAATTGTAAATACCCAGAGGACGGGAGAAAGAACACAACAGCATTAAAAATACACGTCTGTATTTTGCACAGGTATTTTCTGAACAGGGCATTTGACTAGGCAGTTGGCCAGTTTTCTAAACAAGGCCTGGTAGACTTCCTTGCAATATCCATAACAAAAATACAAGCTAAACATACCAGAAACGAAGGTAAGGTGGGAATTCTCCTAGTAAAAAGTCTTCTGCAATGACACATGACACAAACTGTGTTGAAATCATTTCTCTAACCACTACTTTGTACTGCAAAAGGAAGTCCTTTGTAAGTCTTAAGGACCCTGCCTCCTCACAGCATCAGTCTCGGTGTCCCTCATTCCTACAAAACCCTGAACTCTTAGTCTGTCTTTCCTGCATCATCCGGCTGTATCTTACAGTTACTGTTGCTAGTGGAGCAGATAATGGTTTTCTCATGACTTTTCAGGTAAGCATAAAAACTCTGTGTCAGAAAGTTTTAGAACAGGTTTAATCATTTACTACAGAGAAAGCTTCTGCACTGTTGTGACTGTTACCCTTTTAGTTTTATAACATTGCTTTTCCAAAACCCTTCATGTGTGTTTATATAAGGCTCTAGATATTGGAGTTCATAAAGAAATTCATGTTCCTATTCACTTGCTGCTGAAATTCAGTGACAGACCTTTGAAGGTGAAAGAACAAAGATATTGCTCTTCCTATATGAAAACACTGAAATTCAAGTGCTTTTTCGTGACTGATAAAGGAATATCATAACAAGGCATGGAGGCCTATTAAGATGCCACAGACTCAGAACAACTTTGAAAGAGATGTTCTTCCAAAAAGAAAAATATTCTTACTCCAGGTTTGGGTGTACTGCCTTCCCTCTTATGCAAATTCAGAAGTTTTCCTTGTCTGAAATGCACTTACTGCGAAAGACGGCAGTGCCTGGAACCTTTAACACAGTTTGCCACAAAACTTTGCAATAAGTAAGCTACATAGCTAAACTATGGCACTTCTTTTGTAATGCAGTTACCCTTTTGTCCGTATTCCCATTTTTTAACAAGCAGCAGTGACATTCCCATAAAAATCGAACTATAGTCCTAGACGACATTTTAGCAGAAAACTAAAATGCTAAACAATTAACCACAGACATCTTTCAGTAACAAAGAGCAGCGCAGAGCAGCAAAGAAGTCTGCAAGAGAAAACAAGAGGACAAAGTCACATTCACTCCAGATCAGGCACAGCAGACTCATACTGCCACATTAGGGATCAGCCAGACTGGAGAGAAATTATGCAAAGTTCACCAAGTATTGTATCACTCAAACTTAATAATGGCAGTAACAGGCATTCCAATAAGCAGACAAACATAAGTGACTGAAAAAGGACTCTTTCTCTAGTAAAAAAAAAAAATACAGTGGTCAGAGATTTGTTTTATTTTACCTTTTTGTCTCAGTCACTAATACAGCAAAAAGGTGGCCATATATTTTGCAATTGAGTAAAAGATAGTACTGACACAAAACTGTCAGGGAGTTTAGTTAAGAGTAGTAGTAGTATTTGAAATTACATGACTTTTTTTTTTTAATATAGTAGCAAAGAGTAAATACAGTGGTCAGAGACTGTTTTATTTTACCTTTTTGTCTAAGTCACTAATATAGCAAGAAGGTGGCCATATATTTTGCAATTGAGAAAAAGATAGTACTGACACAAAACTCTCAGGGAGTTTAGTTAAGAGTAGTAGCAGTATTTGAAATTACACGACTTTTTTTTTTTTAATATAGTAGCAAAGAGGTGGCTGCCTTTTTAGCTCACTGGGCTTCACAAACATCACACATACAAAAAAAAACTCTTAAGAGTTAAGCTGCGTAGAACTTGCCATTTCTGAGTGGTTTTTTAGTGCTTACTCACTACAACATTGGTTAACCCACGCAAGGTCCATCAGATCTAATGTGCACCCATCCCTGCAAACACAGCCAAGCTGGCAGAGACTGCTAATGACTTCACTTTCATCAGAGAGCACGAGAAGCAGAAATCTCACTCACATCCCAAGTTATTTTCTCAGAAAGTCCTTTCTGGCCCTTTTTTATACAGACAATTGTCACAAGCAGCAATGAAACACTTGTAAATGAAGGACCTCTGGTGGACAGCTACAGACTTTTCTCAGGAGGAGAGAAGAAACAACTACAGAAGGAAAACAGTTGCTAGTATCTCTAAAGATATGTTCTTAAGAGGTTCAGAAGTGCCCTGAAATATCCTCATTTGCAAATCTATCAGAGATCAACAGAACTGGACAATGCGTTCACTAAAGTGTTCAGTATAGCTCTTAAAGATCCAACCTTAACATTTACTAGGAACAGATAAAGACTCAGTTCTTAAAGATGGAAATAACCAAATTTTGGAATAAGCAAAGAGATTTCTTTGCCAAAGATAGAAAAGTCTGCACTCCCAGTCTTAGCATGTGACATATGATACATAACTTCTTGGCAAATACCTTTGAAATCCCAAGAACATCAGATTTGTTTGAACAACAACAACAAAAAACAAACAGAAAAAAACACAACAATAACAAATGCCTTTCAAGAACTACTATTTTGTAAGCTTATGTTACCAGTCACAGATCCACAATGAAACCTGCTTCCTTACCTGACACTAACACATTCCCATGAAGGTGTAGTATGGAACAGAATCAGACGTTTGTTGTCATCTGTCAAGGCAAAATAATTTCCGGATAAGGAGAAGGCAAAAGCTAAGATGTCATCACTTCCTTTATCTGCTGGCTGTCCATCCTGTCTATTATACAGAAGAGAAAAAAATTAGGTTCACAGTCTGAAGCAGTTACAGAAATCCCTAAGAAGCCAAACCCCTCCTCCCGTTAAAGCGGGTTGCTCAGGTCTTGCTCATTTAAATTTCAGATTTCGCCAAGGATAGAGATTTGACACATTTGGAACGCTGCTACCGCACCACAAGATTTGGGGCACTGTTATCACGTTTTCAAGACGAAAAAGTTCCTTGCCTAATTTTTATTTCCCATACTGCAGCTTGTGTCTCTAGCATCACATCTTGATCCTATGCATGTGTAAGAACTATCTCTCAGCCATCTTTACGCCCTTTACCAGAGGGCTGCAGCCACCACTAAGATCTCTCTTTAGCTTGCTTTTCATTCAGGCTCAACAGGTCTTATTCTCTCAGCTCCTCCTTGTACATCATCTATTCCAACCCCCAAACATCTTAGCAGCCCTTTGCTGCACTAGCCCCACTTTATCAACATTTTTTCTTGTACTGAAGGGCCCAACAGTGGAAGAGCGCACCAGATATGGTCTCACAGAAAAAGAAATAGAGGGAAGAAAATGATTTCCCTTGAGCTCCTACCTACCCTGTTGCTGCTACAACACAGGACCCTTGTCCTCCTTGCTGCAGGGGCGTGCTGCTGACTTACACCCACGTGCCAGAACCCCCACAGCCTTTCCTGCAGAGGGGTTTGCTACCCAGCCCACCCTCAGCCTTTCCCTCGCACGAGGTTAGCCCAGCCCCAGGGCAGGGGCCTTTGCTGAACCTCATGAGGCTTCTGGCAGCCCATTTCTCCAAGGTCCCCCTGAAAAGCAGCCCTCCGGCAAGTGCAGGGGCCACTTCCTCAAATTTGGTACCATTCCTGAACACCAAACTACACAGACTCAGATTGAAGGCTGACGTTATCTGACATATCAAACAGTGTAGTCACACTATACAAGCTTATACTGTAAATAGAAGCTACTATAAATAAGCTAAACTGTGTTTTTGAACTTAAAAGGCTAGAATCTAAATATCTAAGACTAAAATTAGAGCTGCCTTCTTTTTAAGGCTGTCTCCATTTTACAGTGGAGCACAGTGCAACAACATCATGGTAGCAGTGACTACACTGGATCCATAAGCAGCACGCAAGGACTTGTCCTGTAACCAAAACAGATACAGGACTTTGCTGCACTCCAGTCGAGTGCATCCTGCTCTCCAGATTACATGGTTTAGTATCTAAGGAATTCCACACCAAGCCTCACCACACACTGAAGATTTGTAAGAACAAAGAACTCCAGCAAAGCTGAAAGGTTAGAGCTTATTACAGGCTTTTTGTTGGTTGTTGTTGTTATTTTGTTTTGTTTTACAACAGTTCCAGTATTTTTGAAGTTATTTAATAATCTTATAGCTGGGGGGCAAGATTTATATTTCTTTATTCTCCTACGGCGGGAAAGAAAAAGGACCAAATAAGAGAAAGCAGACAATAACGCTTAGGCCTGCATCACTACTTGCTTAAACAAGTACTAGGGTTTGTGTTTGTACTAAACTAATTCAGTGGAAAACAGCAAGACTGCCTACAAGTAAAGCAATTCCCTGTGACTGAACTTAAACTATAACTGTTTTCGTTTTAGAAATCTTGTGATTTAGAGAATAGTTCTGAAGGAAAACTTGTACACACAGAATCTATACTGGTCTGTCTTAGGTGACTTAAGATTAAAAAAGAAAAAAAAAGCGTGATTGAGAAGAATCATACAGAAAACCGTTATTGACCCCTTTTTTTTTAAAAAAAAAAAAAAAGGTTACAATAACTCCACTGAAAAAAATCTGAAAACAATGTATGCTTTTACATGTAAACATACAGTTCCTTCAACCTCAGGAAAAAAAAAACACTTGGCCATCACTTTTTCAAGCAGTCATTCCATGCCTTTCTTTTATTTTCTTCACTGACACACTGACCCTCAGGAGGAGACACAGCCTCCAGGAAAGCAGCAGATTGTCTACGGATGTTCTCTCACCCTTTATTCCCTACGGTCTTCTTCTCTGCATTGATGCAATCGTACACGACTGGTCTGTCTTAGGTGACTTAAGATTAAAAAAGAAAAAAAAAGCGTGATTGAGAAGAATCATACAGAAAACCGATTATATTATTGATCTCTCTTTTAAAAAAAAAAAGGTTACAATAACTCCACTGAGAAAAATCTGAAAACAATGTATGCTTTTACATGTAAACATACAGTTCCTTCAACCTCAGGAAAAAAAAAACACTTGGCCATCACTTTTTCAAGCAGTCATTCCATGCCTTTCTTTTATTTTCTTCACTGACACACTGACCCTCAGGAGGAGACACAGCCTCCAGGAAAGCAGCAGATTGTCTACGGATGTTCTCTCACCCTTTATTCCCTACGGTCTTCTTCTCTGCATTGATGCAATCGTACACGAACAGACCATCATCACTGTGAACAAAATAGAAAAAAAAAAGAATAAAAACACTGGAACTAGAACAGCCATTAATTTAATCATGAGAAATGTCAACTCTTTTGTGGTGCACTATTATTACACACATGAGCAACTGAGCCCTCTGAGAACCATCCCCTGACAACAGCATCCTTAAAGTACTACAAAAGCAGTAAGAGTTGGAAACCTTGTACTATGCACACACACAAAACAGAAACCATCATCTGTTAGCAAAATATTCATCTTCTTTTCAGCATATGCTATACATATTTTATTTCAATCAGGCTCCTCAACATGGTAAACATGTTTAGGATTTACACAGACTTCTGGTATTTACTGACCTCTCAAACCAATAACACCAATATGATGGTTGCACAGTAGTGCCAAAAACTGCTAAGACAAAAAAAGCTGAAAAACTATATTTTGCCTGTAATTGTAAACACACGTAAGATGTCTCATGGTGTCTAGCTATACCCAGATCGCTCAAAACAAGAATCACAGAATGGTTATGGTTGGGAAAGGCCCTCAGGATCATGCAGTGCTTCAGCAGCTCTAGCAGGCACTATCGGCAGAGCCCGGTAGGAAAGCTCTGCACTAAAGCAGGTGCTGTAAATACACCACAAGCCGAGCGAACTTGGCTCCGCTGCAGCAGACAAGGCTACCCCACAACCCTTCCCGGTGAGAAGCGAGAGGTGCCGCTGCTTGCTCCCGAAGCCTGCAGACGGCGGGGCCTCAAGGATCCCGGTGCGCACAGAGCGGCCCGGCGGGCCCCGCACGGCCCTTCCCGCCCCTCCGCGAACAATAGTGAGATTTGATTTTGTTCCTTGGCTTATGGACATCCTGTGTCATTCCTAAACATGTGTAAGTTTGCCTAAAACTATCAAGGTCAAGGCCATTGCTTCCCCTCTTTGCTCCTTGTCATCGTCTGCCCGCCCTTTCCAAGGCCAGCACCCGAGCTGCGTGAATACAAGCGCCTGCGGTAACCTGAGCTGCGTGACCGAGCTAGGTTTAAAAATAATCTGCCAAAAAGCACCTCCGCATCCAGGAGGGCAGCTGGGCGCTGATTTCCCACGGATCGGGAGGCCATCGAACCCCTCCGCACGCGCGCTGCTGGCTTTCCTATGCGCGGGCTCCCCCCTCGCAAAGCTGAGGGGAAAATCTGTTTTTGTAGAAAAATTTCAATACAGAAAGAGTGGTGAAACAATGGAGCAGGCTGCCCAGCGTAGCAGTGGAGTCGCCACGCCTGGTAATGTTCAGAAAACCTGCGGATGAGGCACTTCGGGACACGGTGGTGATGGGCTTACGGCTGGACTCGATCACCTTGAAGGTCTTTTCCAACCACAATGATGCTGTGATTGAACATTTGAGGCGGTAATTTCCAAGTCCCAGACGGACTAGTCAGAAGTCACAAACCAGCTTATTTCACTACAACCCTTGGTTATAAATAACTATGATTTTTTTTAAGTCCTTTTCAAACGGGCAACATGGGCAGGGACGGAAAGAGAAAAGGCCGGCGGGATGCGTGTTTTACGCAGCGCTGTTCACACCGACCTCCGAGACGGCACAGGGGGCCCTTCCCGCGGGGCAGCAGGGACATTCCCTGGTGCGGGGCATTCACCGGGAGCCGAGCGGTTTCAGCCAGCACGTCCAGCGCGGGGAGCGCAGGGCCGCGGCGGCACCG